CTATGCAGTTTCCCTTTGGGGCTCATTTTAAAGTTCTTATCTACTTTTTCCAGACAAAAGCTCTAATTATGCACGCGCGGCGGCTGCGAGATAAACTTCTGATCTCCGTTCAAAACAGCCCGTGGTGGCCTTTAAGAGGGCAGACGGGGCGGGGGACAGCGGCTGCGCGGGAGGTGCTCTCCAAAGCCGGTGGGTGATGGCGTGAGGTAACCGTGAGGCAGAGTGGTGTGGGGGGGGGTGAGAGAGGAATCACATGGCCGACAGACAGAAGAGGCTCGGTTTAATTAAGGGCTCAGCCCGGCTCTGCTCCTCCTTAATGAGTCAGGCCGTCGGACCATTGTTGGAGGGCTTTGTTCCCCGACACAGCGGCTATACAATGGCATGAATGCACCGTTTCTCGTTATTAAGGGGATGTTTGCTAATTAGGGAGTAAGAGACCTCTTCAGCTGTCTGAAGAGCTGGCACGTTTCCTGACAGAAAAGTTATCAGCAGGGAATTGGGGTAAGAAAAGGCCTGACTTGAATCTGTGAAGACCCCCCCCCCAATCTCTCACTACAGCTGAAGCAATATGGACTGCAAACGAGAGAGAACTCAAGTCTAGCTGAAGGATTCCCCTCCATTTCTTATTACGGCTTTCACAACACACTTAGAGCTGGCTCTATATAAAGATAAAAGCCTATGAAAGTGTTTCGTTGGATGGAGTACGCATTCATAAATCTGTGATGGAAGGGCCATTTGACTTGGTACATATTTGGAATTTCGAAATAGACACATTCCCAGGTGTATTTTTTTTGCTTCAGTCACAAGAGTCTGAGTGAAGGCGTCTGCACATGTCTGAAACTGCACCTCTTTATCGATTGGAGCAGATTTCCATCGATTAAGTCTGGATCCAAGATTACAAGTCAGGCTGGTGGATCCTTGAATTACAGACACGGTTGGACCTCTGTCTGGGTTATGTCTCTAGTTCTCCTAGCACTGGTGTCACATTTTATTGGGTCTGTAATGTCTTATATAATCTCATAAGATTTATTGACCTCATTAATTTTCTCCTCTTAATATTCATGTCATCTATTAGTATGCAAGAATATCACACTCATTCCCAAAATGATTCTAAGTGTGTCTGTGGTGTAACTGTATACAACTCATGAAATATGAATTTTTTTTCCTCACAGGAACTCCCTTTGAAATTGTAATGTTCTGGAATCTTGCCTGAGAGCTAGTCTCCCTTTTTTTTCACAGGCGACATGTCGCCTCATTGGTTTCTTTCTGAACCAAGGTTTACCTCCGTAGCCTGAGGACGCATTAGCTTTATATTGCCTAATCGGAGAACATCTCACACTTCCTGTCTCGCTGCTCCTGTTAAATAAAGTTTGACAGCTGTAGCCCAGCAGACGCCTCCCCGGTACGCCCATAGGCCGGCTTGTGTTAATTATATCTCTGAATCGTTAGGCTCCGCTCTGCCGGAACGGATCCCGTTAGCTTCGTCTTTGATTCTGACAGGATATGTGAAAAGCCCAACCTTGTTTACACCAGGCTACCGGCTGCTTTCTCACACCTCAGAACGATCCCTCTGAATCTGACTGCCAGCGCCACGCTTTCCACTCCTCTCTGAGTTTAGTCACAACATAATGACAGCGAGCGGTTAAATGATCAAAGGAATGAAATGCATTGTGGGAGAAGTGACTTTGCAACATTTCTGTGTGTGGGTGTGTGGTATTACCCTGCTCTGTAACCATAATATCACAGCTATAACCCTGCTCTCTCTAATGCTGATATCACAGGTATAACCCTGCTCTCTCTCTAACCCTGATGTCACAGGTGTAACCCTCCTCTCTCTAATGCTAATATCACAGATAAACCCCTGCTCTCTCTCTAATCCTGATATCACAGATATAATCCTGCTCTCATTCTAATGCTGATATCACAGGTATAACCGTGCTCTCTCATCCTGCTACCAGAATGATGAGCTGGGACTTTCCATGGCTATTTCTGTACTAAAGTGCAGGAATTTTGAGGACGGAGAGAAAGTAATACATCCTGTACTGGGACAGGGGTGCAGCAGCGTTATTGAAAATAGCTTTATCCAATTTATAAAGGGCACCCTGTACCCCACAGGAGGGCAAAATATGTGCATGGGCAGCTTTTTATGTAGCTAGGTCACATGCACCTTCAGTATGACCAAGTCTAAGTGTCCATTTGATCTCTGGTCATAGTTAATACGCTCATCGGGTTGTATAACACTCTTGACGCAGACATTACATGTAATTACATGTTATTACATGTTATTACTCTGTAAAAAAAAACTTCATGACTCGTATGTGTCTACATCCTGTTACAATGTAGTTAACGTGGAACAGGCATTTTACTATTGATTACTCAGGCCGATACATTACTTCACTGCCCTCGAATAAGGATAGTAATTCACAGCTGGATAATATGATAATATGCAGGCAACAACATATCAGCTCAGTGCAGTTGCGTGATAGGACACAGGGCAGCTGCATATGGAAGATGTGTGACCCAACAGTACTCCCAGTAGCAAAGAGCCACATTCTCATTCACAAAAAACAAAGCATTTTTCATTTGCAATGTTTGCAGCGACCGGAATAAAAGACTCGCTGAAGCGTACTGTTTTTGCAGTGCAGGCAGTGGGCTTTACGACCCAAGGGCAAGCTGTCTAAACAGTGGTAGAGAGCATGCTCTGACTGGTCCGCGGTAATGCACGGCTTTATGCTGGATAATAATACAAGGCTTTATTCTGGATGGCCGGGACTTATGGGCCCTGTTACTGCCCCCGAATCGTAACAGTAACTCCAGACCCAACCTGTACCCATAAGCCTGGTCTGAACCCGCAACCCTTTGTGTTGCTGCACGCATGAACACACAAAAGCAGCTTTCAGTTACATGGCGACTACCGTAGCATACAACTCGTGTGATGTACTTTAGGGACTACGAGGCAGTTGAGTTGTTTGTTTGACAGCCACCTGCCAAATGCTATTTCAAGATGTTTTCTTAGCCAGAAATGGAATCCATTGGTGCGATGCTGGAGCAGGTGTAGATTGGACCAGAATAGTGAAGTTTCATTCTATGCTTTATTACCATGTGAACACACCTTTGATACAATGGAACGACTATTTTTATGAAAGGAATTCAAGTCATTTTTGAGTACTGTTCTCTATTGTAAGGTGCAGGGTGAGGTGTATTATATAGCGGCAAATATTACTGTATAGACTATGATGAGTTTGATTACTTACATCTGCTGATTAACATCTGTTTTTCTGTGGGTGAGAATCACTTGGTGGCATTTAATGTGTTTATATATGATCATAAACTGTGGTTTCCCTGGATACCTCACATTAGAAACATTGCACTCTCCACACTGTCCCTTCTGCGTCTTGTTTTCCCAATACAAATCTAATTCCGCCTTAAGTGGGTTGCCCTAGAGAGCACGTTACTGAGATTCAATCATCTCAACGGTGCTGGAAAAAAAAAAGACAGATCCTGCAGTAGACCTCAAATACAAAATATTACCCTTGACTGATAATATGAAGGCTTAGAGATCACAGATCAATTTAACACGGTGTCTTCATTTAAAACTCGGGAGATTATTTTCTGCTGAAAAGGAGCCTGGATGAGCCATCACATTATCTTTCATCACAGGGGGACACGCTGATGGTAGACAATAGTTTCAGAGCTGCGGAGAATGTGTATTTAAACTGACATCACTGTCATTAGGCAGTCATTCTGAGAAGCACTGAAGTCTGATCAGCACTTCACTGTATTGTGGAGTGGAGAGAGAGAGAGAGAGAGAGATGGAGAGAGGGAGAGAAAGAAGAAAAGAGCGGCAAGAGACATCCTTTCAGAGAAAACCTCCTTCAAAACCTTCCAGAGAACATTTGGGGGGGTGGAGAAGACCGTAGATCGCGGGCGGGTCAGTGGCGGGCCATCAGGGACACATCGGGGTGTCGTAGGGCACATGTCACCCAATGAGTGTTAATTATCCTCTAAAATTCAGAGTCACGACCCTGGCAGGGGGAGCAGAGTGAGTCACATCAAAGGCCCGGAGCGAGCAGAGAGAGCAGAGAGAACTCGCGTCACGGAAAATTCCACAGTATTCTGCCTTCCGTCACCATTCCACATTCCCTCACTAATGAGCATCAAGGACTTTATTGTTATTATTATTGTTACTACTACTACTATTAATAATAATAATAATATTAGTAGCAGTAGTGTTCTTCTTTTTCTTCTTCTTCTGTTATTATTCATTATATTTGCTGAGACTGCTATCCAGGGTCACACAATTTACATACTAACATTCAATCTGCACCTGGACATCTACTGAAGCAATTCAGGTAAAGTACCTTGATCAAGATCAGAGCAGAAGCCTTCTGGTTACCAGCAATGGTCCCTTTTCCGTTAAACTAGACTGACTGAGTGGCTCTCACTGGCTGCAGTGTGCACAGTCTATGATGTGACACCAGCTTGCAGTGTTACACAGTGAGTTACATGTACCTCGCCCTCAGGACATGTGCAGATGGCCACTGCAGAAAAATAGCTGGCTCATTTACCAAACACACAGACATCGGGTCTGGTGTGGAGGGCATTGATTCAGCGTTTGGACCGATTTTTCCTGTTGGCTTGTTGAATGTTCTGGAATGTGCCCCACGCTAGCTGCTTGAGGATGCAATGCATATTTCCCAAATAACCCCAGGGAAAAGTGTTTGGATGGATGTAGCAAGCCCATATCAAGTCTCATTACATGGTTAGTTTTCAATACTTGGACCAGTTAAACATCTACCCTGGCTACCTTTCTGAGTTACAGGTCATGCTATTTTGCATTATGCTCACCTTATTACATTACATTATCGTCATTCAGCAGATGCTCTTGTCCAGAGCGACTAACATAGGTTACCATTTTTACGTGTTATCCACTTATACAGCAGGATATTTACTGTATAGGCAATTCTGGGTTAAGAACTTTGCCCAAGGGTGCAGCACCAGTGCTCCAGTGGGGATTGAACCAACAGCCTTTTGGTTATAAGCCTTACTCCTTACCACTATGCTACACTGCCACCCTGAGGTGGCATAAAGCCATCTTATATAGCTTTATGGTTATGTGGTATAGGCAATTCAGGCAAATGGGTAATGTGGCATACATCCCGATTGGCCAGGACACGGTCGAAACTTCCTCACATCTCCAACTCATTAAAAATGTTTTCCGCTCCCACTTCCAGCTTGAGGCGCTGCTCATACCGGGTTTTCAGCCTTGTTAAATTACCACAGTTGCACAGGCTCCGCCTCTTTCCGCTTGCGTTTCACACTTGTGCGTGGACTAGACGACTGTGTCAGGCTGTCAGAATCGGGTCCATCAATGTGAAGGGAGAGCATCAACATAGTGAGAAGCTATGACAGTGCTCGCATGGGGGGTTAGATGGAAGCACATATAAGTGAAATGGCCTCATATCGGATTCCTTATTGGGTCTTCAAAGTGACAGCTGGCTCTCTAAATGAAATACACAGAGCTGGGGAGAGAACTGGGAAGTCCTGGAGGAGAGCTCTGCCTAGTCCCTATTGGCTGGTTGCTAATCGCTGCAGCTTGCTCCGCCTCCATATTGAGCCGTGACAAATCTTACCTGCCACGGCAGATGGCCTCTCGTTTAGAGGCAGCTGAGATGGGGCTTCCTGAAGCCTTCCTTTAGCCCTCCGTCTCACTGCAGATAAGCGCACACACGCACACATTCCCACACACAGCGGTCCGGGAGGACCACAGACTGCCGTCTCTCAGGTAGCGCTACAAATCCAAACAGCCCCTCAGACACACTGCAGATTAGAGAGGAGTGCTGAAGGAGATAACTGCAACACTTAGGTTTGACCGTTGGGCACAGTTATTTAGTGTATTTTATTTATTTTTTGCCATTAATCGATTTCATATAAACAATTAATTGGCCATCTACTGATGAATCAATCTTCTGATTACTCAGTTGGCTTTTAATGAAGCAACAATTTGACATCATGCCTGACTGAGGGCGCTGTATGAAAAAAATATTTAGGGCTGGGTTTTCAGTTAACAAAGATAACAAATGTCAAACAAAGTAACTCACTTGCTTCAGTTTGTTAATCCTCCCAATTGATTTGTTGATACTGTGCTAATAAAACAGTGAGGCTGTCAACATTTCAAGCATGCATTCATAATAAACAGATAGCTGAGAGCTGAGGTCTTATTTAGTCACTGAAGGTGTCGTCTCTGTATGGAGTTGGTTGTGGTGTGAGTATGGTAGCTGTAAGCAGCAGCAGCTGGGGCCCTGTGGAGAGAGGTGCGTGCGGTGGAGGAGCTGGAGGAAGCCTCTCCGTGATTCAGGCTTCACGGGCCGCCTAATCGGGCCTGACTGAGCCAGGGGGACCGCCATCTGAGGGCTGGCCGCTTGGCCGCTCCGGTTTCTGCCGCTCCTGGCAGAGGGAACGCCGAGCCACCGGTAGCCAGGTTGCCTTGGCGTCTGGCGGTCGGTGCCACCGCTGGGCACAGCGTCCGCACGCAGGCTGCCACCGGAGCAACGGCCAACGGAGCGAAGTTTCTGCCGCCGGCGAGGCCCGGGCAGCTCCGTTTCCGAGGCAACGATCCGGTCACCTTGCGCCTGACCTCTCCTGGACTCGTCTGCGGGCTTAGTGAGACATCTGGAGCTGCAGGCGGGCACATAGCAGGAACTCACAGGTACGAGAGAGAGAGAGGGAGGGAGAGAAAGAGAAAGGGAGAGAAGGAGAGAGGGGAGGGAGAGGGGGACAGAGGGACAGAGAGAGGGATGGAGAAAAAGAGAGAGGGCAGGAGAGAGGAGCAGAGAGAGAGAAGGAGAGAGGGACAGAGGGATAGAGAGAGAGGGATAGAGAGAGGGAGAGAGAGGGATGGAGAGAGGGACAGAGAGAGGAGAGAGGGAGAGAGAGGGATAGAGAGAGGGATAGAGAGAGGGAGAGAGGGATAGAGAGAGGGAGAAAGAGGGGAGGGAGAGGGACAGAGAGAGGAGAGAGGGAGGGAGAAAGAGGGAGGGAGAGAGGGGCAGAGTAATAGGGAGAGAGGGAGAAGGGAGAGAGGGACACAGGGACTTAGAGAGATGGAGAGAAAGGGAGGAGAAAGATTTTAGCCAGGCATAAAAAGAGAGTAGGAGAGAGGGAGATAGATCGGCCTAGAGCGAGAGGAGAAGGGGGGAGAGACAGAGAGGCTTTTCACAACGCCCATCGCGCTCTGCATTTCCCATTATCGTCAGTGCATAAAGAAAACAATTAGCCTCATCCAGGAGAAAATAAATGGTAGCCTGTTGATAATTACAGCTGTAACAAATGCTCATTTAAATGTCTGCCATAGCCCCTCACAGGGAGAGATCAGCATTGCCAGGGTCTGGCATCACATTCGGGAATTAGCTACTGCTGCTGGTGAATGGGTTTTGCTGGGGGGAAGGTGACTTAGCAGAGAGCAGCTCCATTTTCTGTACTGCAACAGCACAGGTCTGCTCTCTGACTCCTGCTGATGAAGCCATGAAACCACCAGCGCTGCAGTGACCTAGCAAAAAAAAACAACAAAAAAAAACAAATGGAGTTTAATGGCGCGGACATGCATGAAAGCGCTTGATTATCCACTCAATCTGATTCACTGATGAAGAACGTCAATGATTGCATGGGGACCACACTGTACCATGGGGGTCAGGGCAGAGAAAGCCTGTATCGTTTTGCCTCAGCACCAACAGCAGTGCGATGTCAAAACCTGCCATTTCCACACTGAAAACCCCAGAGGCAACATTACTGTCAGAGCAGCCTGCATAATCCAAAAAGGTAATCAGTAACATACCATTTTAGCACACTTTACCTTTTGTGAAACGTCAATGGGCAGTTAAAATCAGTGGGTAATTTCCTCTGTGAAAAGGATGCAGGATGAAGTGGCATTGCATGTTGCTCATATTTTGATTATTCAGGGATCACAGTGCAGCTGCAGTTACCAACCACGTTTTCATTTGGTTGGGGGGAGGCATAAATTGCCAGTAATTAAAATATTGTGGCTAATTTCAGAGCTTTGAGCTTTAGAATGCTTCTGTTTGCGTGAGCATTTAGCTGCGGGCTTCTGACAGGGAAGCTGCGCGTCAGAAAACTGCCCAACCAGTGCTGGAATAATGCAAGACTGCAAAAGTTCTTCCCCGGGACGTTGATCGGGATTGAGTTTGACATCAGGCCTTTATGAAACCGAAACGCCGTCGACATCAATATTAACCGCGTGCCCGAGAGAAATGGAGTGGGCTGATCTGAGTCTTTCTGAAGTCCTACAGCACCGAGACCTGCGGAGACAGAGGGGAATCATGGGTAATCAGAGATGCTCAGCTGTAAGCCCTTCATCGCCATGGATACAAAGCCTTATTGGCTGCTCCGTCCTGCCACTGTTAAAGTACAGTGCCAGTCCAAAATTCAGACACATGTAATCATAGAAGAGTTTTTCTTTATTTTTACCCATTTCCATATTTTAGAATAATAGTAAAAACATTAAAACTATGAAATAACACAAATGGAATTATGCAGTGACCAAAAAGTGTTAAACAAATCAAAACTATCTTAGATTCTTCAAAGTAGCCAAATTTTTTTTTTGTTAAATTTTTGGAAAGAAATTCATACATAGGCATCAAATTCACTATTTATATTTGTCTAAAAAGCAAGCATTTAAGCAAAGTCTTTAGAACAAAATGAAATGAATCAAATTGAATGCAAGTTTCTCATTATCTTAATCAGGTGTGTCCAAACTTTTGACTGGCACTGTAGCACCTCATCACCTCCTCAGAGGGGGTGGCCCGCTATCTGGATCCCATCAGAGTAATCTAAAAACATGCCGACCTAAAAAAAACAGCTGCTTGGTATGACACACACATCATACATTACCAAATCTGGCAGAGCGGCGTTCTTTCATGCTGCAAGCTGGGGTGAATTGCTATTCTGAAATGGAGTGGTTGATTCAGAGCCCAGAGGGTGAGTCGATGAGGACCTGGAGCACGTGGTCACCTGCTGTAAATCAGACCACTAACTGATCCAAGTGATTATCATAAAACAGACACATTCCAATATAAAGGATGCCTACCCCTGCGCTAAGATTTAAATCGAGAAAGCTGTAGCTGTTATATGTTTTGAGTAATGCTGGTTAAAAATATTTTACAGCTATTAAATTTATGTAATGCTCTAGAGTTCAGATTATTTAACAGCAATGTTACAAGTCAAACAATATGGAGATTAATGTTTTGGAACAGAATTTATGTCACAGCAGGTTTGTAATACTGTTGAATATGGTTTGTTGAATGGCATTGCTATAAGGCTGTTGAATATTCAGATTCATGCTTTGGGATTCCACAGATGTCTTTAATTTGACGTCATTTGTTCTCTTCATATTGTCCCCCATTTTCAGTTGGTCTACGCAGTCTTGTTTTAGTTCTTACAGTTTATTTGCAACTCATGTTTGAGTCAGTGGCAGGGGGAGGCTTCTGATTGGTCTGTTTTTGGCTGCCAGTCGAGTTTGAAAGGTTAATCAGGGGTGACTAATCGCTGAGGGGGGTTCTCTGAAACAGATGCCATCCAAGGTTGATTAAAGTGGCTGCAGCCTATGAAAGCATCAGTTTTTGGCTCTTGTTATGGGCCCTTCTGAGCACATTTGCCCTGGGGTTGTCAGCGCAAAACAGGACAGAGTGAATATTTTCTGCTGAAGATCACTGAGACGAAAAAAAAAAAAAAATGAAATGATGCTGAGAGAGAATTACTGCAGTACAGCTGAGGTGCCAAGGATGAATATTGCAGTATATTTCATTTTGGATTTGAAAGAGAAGAAACATATGTATATATTTAATTTTAGGACAGTAATCATGACAGGTCAGATTTTATGCGTGATGTGCTCTCTCTGTAATCCAGTCAAAGGGAATGTCAAGAGAGACACTCCGCAGCAGTGACTGGATAGCATCTCCTCTAGACTTGTGCTCCCAGAATCCCCCTCTGCTCCGGGCTTCCACTTTGATGTGGGATAGCCTCCCGCCTGCCCCATGAAAGGAAAGGGTCCTGCACT